CAAAGAACATCCGACTCAGTGCCCACCTTTGACTCGACAATAATCCCTGCCCTGACGTATGCAGCAGAAACCTGGTCGCTACGTAAGCAGGATGAAAGATCACTTGCCGTTATCGAACGCGCAGTCGAAAGGTCGATGGTAGGAGTATCCCCTATCTCGCAAATGAGAGAAAGGATCCGAAGTTCCGGCCTACGTCAACGATCGAAAATCAGAGACGCCGTTCTACACGCCAGGATATCGAAAATAAGGTGCGCCGGACACGTGATGCGCTTCAACGACAACCGATGGACGAGAGCCGCTGCCGACTGGATTTCTGGGGACGTCAAGCGCTCTAAGGGAAGACCCCTGACCCGTTGGTCCGATTTCTTCACGAAAGCGATAGAAGAAAGATATGATGCTCAGCGAATCCCTAGAGCGAGGAGGATCCACTGGGCTACTCTTGCACGCGATAGGGAAAAATGGAGGAGTTGCTGGTACCCGCGCGAGTCACTCGATGATCAACGGGACGACAGGTGATACAGGTGATACTGCATGGTGCGACGATATAAAATGCCATACGACAGTCCTCTTCAGAGAGACCACAAAGCGCAACTAAGCAAGAGAACCAATATCAAACAATCTTCAGGCTGGCTGCCGGATCATGAAAATTTAAGTAATAGGCGATCTACACTTTTGCGACGACTTCAGTTCTTCGACAACAGACGATAATTTCTCGATCACTAGAGCATTCCACAAGTTCAACGCTTTATAGATTTAAAAAAGAGGTTTACTGCCCTGCAAAAATCTGGTATTTCTTTTGTAATTTTTCATACAATATAATTTTTGACGTGAATAAATTTGAAAAGGGAACATATAAGAAAATGGAAACAAGGTTATAATTTCTGAAACTATGAGTGGAACAGAGAGCAGTTGCGATACAAGGATGGTACATTGGAAATGATCGTTTTCTCCAAACAGAGAAATTTTGGATAGCTAGTCGCAAAAGGGTTCGAAACATGAGCCTTGAAGGATGAGATGGAAGAAACATATGTGATGGACTACAGAAAGCCAGAATTACAAGACTGCAGAACATAGAGGTTTGTAGCCCAGCTAGCATTAATATCATTCTTGAAATTCAAGAAATTCTCAAGTGAGAGTGAAATTTTCAGTTGCAATTTGTCGAAGACAGAGAATGGAGCTCTCGTGACACGTTGCCACTGCTTCACAGCCTACTTTACGCTATGTTGGTCTATTATCTTAAGATAACAGAAGAATTTATATGACTCTTTCGACATTGTATTAGCATACATTTCGTTTCGAGTGCTTGCTTAGACCACGATCAAATTTCAGTATGTCTTATAGTTAATAATGAGCCATGCATGTGGTTTGTTATGGGCACTTAAGGAGCCCCGGTACACATGTTTGGCCATGGCAGACTCATCAGTTATCGCAGTATCCTGCGTCATAGCCAATCCTTTTGAGGAAAACCCAACCGCTTACATAGAGTAGGCGACGACGTACTATCTACACGCTCCATTAAGTGAAATTATCCCTGAATGGGCAGTGTTGTACACTCGATCGCGCTTGTCTGGTATCGTCGAAAATATCATACCTCTCGAGTCTTTCTTTAAACCAAGCTAAAATTCCAATATGCCTTACAGCAATTTTTCTAATTAGGACTTGAAGTTATTACGAAAAATATGACATATTTGACGATACCAGCCAAGATATATCGGAAGGCACATTGCTGCCCATTCAGTGACATTTCCATATAATGTAGATTGTAAATAGTACGTCTGCGTCCTCTCTATGTAAGGGGGAAGGGGGCAGGCTGGGTTTCTTCCAAGACCATCGGCTATGACGCAGGGTAGTGTCCAACTGAAGAGGCTGCCAAGGCCATGAGACGGTGTATTGGGCCCCATAAGTGCCTATAACAGACCACATGCATGCACAAAAATATTTATAAAGTATATTAGTAGTTTAGAAATTCATAATCTAAAAAACCTAGATAATGCAGAAATCAACGATTCTGACCAATTTCTTTGATGTATGCTTCAACAGACTCCGTCATTTTATCAAGTGCCGACAGCGTACTGGAATCCAGTAGATTCGGAATGAATTTCAATTGATAAACTTCCCAGAAAAGTTGCATTTGTTCTGAGATTTCGCATTTTTCAACTGTGCACCTGAAAATAGCACGACCATCAAAAAACAAGAACAAGTTCAAATTCATAGCATAAAGATGCACTATGATTCCATGCCAAGACGGCTATTCCGGCCTACACAATAAAGTACACGAACCCTCCATTTACTGCTTCAGCAAAATGGTCTGCTATTATTACTATATTCTGAACCTCGGGTGGGAGTTGAACCCTCGTCTAACACGTTCTGGAGGCGAGAAAACAATCCACTGCGCACCCAGAAGGTGTCGGACGCGGGTTTAACTCCCGCCCCATGTTTAAAGTTTCTGCGTATCACTCAATATTCTTCTTTGAAAGTTAGATAATGAAATCCGTCTTAACCTTTTGGGCACCACGTTCTACGTTACGTAGCAGGCCGCGCGACGTCGCGCCTCGCTTGGATGCTGCAATGGTGGCGGCGCGTCTCGGAGCAAGGTAGACAGCATCTGCAAGTCGATCGTACCTGCAGATGCTGCTTGCCTGTGACTGCCGCGCGAGCGACCAGCGTGACGCCGCCTGCTATCAGTGGCGGTGCTCAGAGGGTTAATCACTAGTTGCTTCAAATTGCAGATATGTATCGGGTCTGTCACTCTCAGAGTAAAATTTAAACAATTATTACATCAAAGAATGAATTGTCGATGTTAGAGATAACTTCCTCTATGGAAAAGACCACAGCTAATTGATTGCTGAGACAATGAGATAGAAAAATGCGGTTCTTTTCAGTTATTAGGGGACAAATGAAACGTCCGAACTCACTGGCTGGACAGGAACTTTTTCATGGGAATGTTGATAACCATTCGAAAGCTGAGATTTCCGCGTACAGTTCACACATCGCCGGGTCTCGAGAAAGTGGTTTTTTGACGCTGTTACAGAAGGAAATTCTTTGATCTGGCAAGAAACTATGCGCATCTGAGGATAGTTTTATGTTGGATTTTACAATTTATACAAGAGTGTATTTGAAAATTGGTGACTTGGGGCTATAACCAGAAATCTCAGCAGTCCAATGGTTACCAACACTCCTATGAAACGTTCCTATCCAGTGAATGAGTTCAGCTTTTCATTTGTCCCCTTGCAACCGGAAAGAACCAAAAATCTTTTGAAGAATGGAATTGCACCTCTAACCTTTCAGCAACCAGCAAGTTCTCAACGGTGATAGAACAATTTCGCACAGACGCCTTGAGATCTCTTTACACTTTTCCAAATGATCTGGATAAGAAAGAGCAGAGCGAAATATATCTGAAAGTTGCTGGAATAAAATAATGTGTACGTACACCTAGTTGCGAAAACAGTAAGGACCATGACATAGAATCAATGTAAACGAAAGAGCATGAGAAACGGTCATGATTAAAACCTCCCAGATAATTCACTTCCCTCATCATCGCTGAGAGGAGTTTCCTGGGCGCCGGAATGCGCAGTACAGCTAGGGTTTCAGTCCCAAGCAGGCCCAACTACGTTGAGAAGGACTCCGACGTTTCTATCCGGAAAACCTAGCTAAGAGTAAATCGTACCAGGAATAACCGCCGTCTTGGTAGCTACTAATTGCAAGGTGGCAATCTCTTTGTGATCTACAAAGGCAGGCCTTCTACAACCCTGATATGGAGACGACCTGAGGAAGCCGGCTATGCTTACCTCAGGATTTCACCACAGTGACGTAGAGTGATAAGCAAAACTTGCGCGTCAGGCGGTACTTGAACCCGCATCTCACTCTATCCGGGAGCGCGTGCTCCAACCTGTTGCACTACTGACGCCCGTTTTGCTACCACTCTTTCTACACTACAATGCATCTACCTGTCGGCAACCAACCGTCAACGGTTTGGCCCAGGTAGTCGGTATCGACATTGAACCAGTCATGCTGGCAAAACTGGAGTTGTGAGTTAGAGCACGTGCTCCCGGACAGAGCGAGATGCGGGTTCAAGCCCGGTTGACGCAGAAGTTTTGCACATTACTCTACATCACTGGTTATATCTATAGCATCATATCACCGCTAAAAGCGGTCGAATAAAAGAATTCATATTCAAGAATATTAAGAACTAACCAGCGATCCGTTGACTGCCGAAAGAATACGACAATAGACTTCGTGTAGACGTGAAGAGGTCTCTGGCATGAGTTAGAGTTGCTTCGAACTCTCTGAGCTAAATCAGATGCGATCCTAAGAAGGTCAGGATTCTCTATGAAGAATAGGTAGAGCTCCGAGTTACCTGACGAAGACATTCCGCTGAAGGATCTTCTGCCATGAGCGCTCTCAAGAGAATAAAACGACACTCTAGGATTCCTAACGATGTCTTACTCTGAAACAACGATGAAGATCAGTTGATATGGAATCTACAAAGAGAAAAAACTGGCTAGCGCAATGGTTAGCACACGCCCCGGAAAGGTTGAGACACGGGTTCAACTCCCCCCTGAGAGTCGGAGTTGCTTGAGACACTACATCACAAATGATTCCACAGATGAAGCAGCCGGTGTTGATCGATCCTTGACACGCCATGCATTGAACTCCATTCGCAGCATCGTCAGAGGTAACCGGATGCATATCCGACCATAACATGACTCATAGTGGCCTACCGATGTGCCAAGTCAATGCTGCTATCCTCCTAGACAAGCCTGGCACCAGCTCGTCGATGCTGCAAGGATGGAAGGTTTGGCGAGTTTAAGCGCGGGATCGAACCAAAGACTGCGCATGTGTCGCAGAGCACCCTTAACCACTGCCGACCACACTCTCCTTCTCTATTCTTCAACTGCATTCTTATTCTTTTCTTTAAACTACAAATATTGTCATGCACATACTGAATATTTTCATGAGAGAACAATCTTTCAAGGAAGCTGAGTTATATGCATAATTTCCGTCTCAGGCGGGAGTCGAACCCGTGTTCTACCTTACCGGAGACTCGTACTACCACTGCACCACGGAAGCCACCGCTCTGCTATCACTCATTCTACGAAGAATTCTACTGGATTTAGGCGTTTAGAAACGTTACTGGATTTAAAAAGATTTATGAGTTTTTCATTCCAAAGAGGACAGGCACAAACATAAACCTAAAAGATTTCAAAGCCAATTTTCGATACAATTTATATATGAAATATTGCAGTGGAGAACTAAGTAAATAATAAATTAAAGCCAGAAAAACTGACGAAGTGTAGTCATATAATGATGAAGAATAAAGCTCTCGGCGCTTATCAATCGCTGGCGAACAGCGTCACGCATTGAACTCAATTCGTAACATCGTCTAAGGTGACTGGAAAGAGTATCTGGTTCTCAAAGTAACTTGAAGTGGACTACCGTGTGCATCAAGTCAATGATTCTATGCTCGCAGATAAGCCTGGCATCGATTCGCCGACACCGCAGGGATTAAAGGTTGTGTGAGCTTGAGCGCGGATCGAACCATTGACCACGTGTGTCCCAGAGCACCTCTTACCATTGCGCTACACGCGGTAACAAGTTAGAATTAATATATCAATCCTAGAAAAGACTAAACATCAACGATTTGTATGATAAAACCACTCACCAACGACCGCCTCCACCAAGAATTGAACCTACCACCGCCTCTATATTTCGAAAGATTTGATTAGATTACTCTACAGAGAATGTCTGTAATTGCACACAGCACGCCTGAATTTGAAAGGCATCACGGCCTAGTTTTGTCCTTCCCCATCCTCTTACGTCATTTATATTATTTACTTGTTTATTTGTTTACTCTGGCTCGTCATCAAGTTTTGTTTACTGTGCGGATCCCAGTACTTCTAGCATTCAATTCGTTCTTTCGTCTTGTCCTCGATCGTCGTAGAATAACTGGCTGAGCACTTCACCTTCGCAATTTCGAGGATAGCCTGGCTGTGGCGTTCCGTAAGGCGTTCGTTGTTGACTGTCGGAGAGTGTTGGGGGGGGGGGGTGGAGTTTGGTTCGGCTCCACGCGCGCCGCATCGGACATCACAACCACTCGGCCAAGGACGTCCCTCACTCAACATTATTGGATACAATACGACAGTACAATGTAGACATTTTCGGTGGCTCACGTCTCGGCCGTTCCAGATTCTTCAGAGCCTGGAAGAGTCGAACCGACGTGCAATTTCCTCAACCAGCCTTGATCCGAGGGAAATCTTCGAAGCGTTTCTGATCTACTTCGGAAATCTGCTCAATTGTAAAGATTGGGACTCGGTGCGGCTGGTCACCATATCAGCTTCACTTTTCACCACTCAACTGGACCCGTACACAGTGTCGGTGGTCCAACGGTTAGTATACGCTCCAGGAAAGAGTGAGATCTGGGTTCGAATCCCGGCTGACGCTCATGTTTTGCAAAATGCTCCACATTATAGGGTATAGTGTTAGTAATTATTCGAAACCTTAAATCTTCAGTCTGGCGCTGTACATGGCCGGTTTTTTTTTCAAAAAGACCCTTTTATGGCGCTAAATTTTGGGACAAATCGTATTTCAAACGCGTAATTTCTCGAAAAACAGGGCTCTTTTTTTACATTAGTAGTATTCATCCGATAGCGCAAAATTCACCGATTCAGACGCTGCGTTCATATCCTGAAGAGACCGCTTCTTTGCGACGCAGCAGGGAAAATAAGATTGATTCACATGAGCAAGTGCTCTTTGGCGAATTCACGGGCGTTGGAGTGGAGGCCGGGGGCGGCTCGGCGCCATTATCGATCGATGGCGCCTAATTGCGATCTGTTCGATTGGTATTTGTATCTCCGCTTTGGAAGAAACTCCGGCTCGAACGTCTGACTTTGATACTAGAAGATTTTCTCTAAATGTCCATGCGCTTTTCGTGCTTCCTGCAGTGAAGTAATAGTTGGAATTGCGCGGCCGATATGAAGCAGTATTTTATTTTTTCCATTTTTTAGCGTTATAAAAGGATCTTTCGAAAAGCCGGTCACGTACGGCGCTAGCTGGAAATCGAAGCTTTCGAATGATTACCAACACTTTATGAAAACCCACTGCCCAGCGGGGGGCAAAGGATTGGAAATCTGTGCCACCAAACGGAAAAGGACCAATTCCTTTCCGCCCTCCTTCTTGAACTTTGTGGAACACTGGTTGAGCACGTCTCCGTGCAAACTCCAGTGTGGCCTGACTGTGGCACTCCATGGGGCGCTCGTTGTTCACCATTGGAGAGTGGGAGAAAGGGGTGAGGTTCGACCCGGCCGCTCCGCGACGAGCATCACAGCCACTCGGCCATGACCTCGCCCATATTGACTAGTGGACTGCAAAGCAGTAAAACAATGGTAGTTCAAGACCATGCGATTGGCTATTTGCGTGTTGAATACGATTTACTTTGGTAAGGAAAGTTTTTGGACTAAGTGGGTTGTCCATCAACTTGACTCTTCCAAGGCTCCGAGGAAGGCGAAGCTGTCGAAATGTAAGCCACTGAAACTGCCTATACTGTACTGTCTGTAGCGGAAGCATATAAGGCAATGCCTTTCAATCGACTGTGACGAGGCCTGGCTCAAAAATTCGGCGTAATCTGATAGAACGTTTTGAGCTTTTCGAGAGGTCTAGTATGACCTGGCATCGTCGTCGTATACACACGTTTCTGGGTTGGCTTAGATGACCTCAAAGGCATGTGCTACCGATGAAACGTCCGAGAACGCCGAACCGTAAGTATGCCATAGAGGTGCTATATGCCAGACCTCTTGAAAGGTTAGAACATTCTATTTTCCTTTTTTGTCAGATGCGACAAGTAGATATTCGACCTCAATCGCTGGATAAGAATTTTTGATAGGAGTCTTAGTAATCATTCGAAAGCTTAAACCTCCGGTTAGAGCACTACGTGGCCCGTTTTTCGAAAACACCCTTTATAACGCCAATAAAATTCAAAATCATTATGTTTCCCACGACCGCGTGTTTCTGATCTCGCTTATATTTCGCTGGTCAAAACTCCTCCCTTAGACTGTTAGTACTCCTTCGATAGCGCAAGTCTCGAAGAACTTAAAAATGTGGTTGCTCTTTGGAAAAGCTCTTTTGGTAGCACCGCCGGAGAAAGGAAAGATTTCTGTTTTACACCTCACTGGACAGAGCTTTTTTTTTTTGGACTCTTAGTAATCATTCGACAGCGTAAAATCACTGATTTCAAGGCTGTGCTTGTTTTATAGAAAGATCTTTTCACTGCAGTGTAGCAGGAACAATAACATATAGTTTCACATATTCGGCGAGCTTGTTTACCGACTAATCCACGTGTAGGGGTCGGGGCGATCGATCGACGGCCTGAAGTGTTAGACATGTGAATTGCAACTTGTTGTTCAGACGGGAATTTTTTCTCCAGCGTGAAAAATAGTCCAGATAAAACGATTGACTTACATAATACGAAAATTTCTTTACACTTTTCTTACCCTTATACATCTCTTTTCGTGCCTCCAGCGAATTTTACGGGTGATAAAAATGAAGGCGCGTGGCGGGTGTGAAACATAATTTTATTTTGAAGTTTGCAGCGTTATAAAAGGGTGTTTTGAAAAATTTGCCACGTAAGACTCTAGCCAGAGACTTAAGCTTTAAAATGACTAGTAACACTCCTGTGGAAAAGTCTTGCCAGCAAATGGAGTCTGATGTTCCTTTGTCGCCATCCAACAGAAAAGAATCCATTCTGTCACACTGTACTGGTATTGTACTGAATAAATCGCTCGTTAACAGCTTTGTGTTCGCTGAATAGGGATATCACGCAGATATTTTTGAACTGTTGATGTTTTCGAGCTACTCGAGTTGGTGAGACGGCGCAGTGGTTAGCGATGCAGTGCATCAGGAAGCTAGTTGAGCAATGCACTCGTTCGATCCTCTCCGAAAACAAAATCCATCCATAAGAGGAACGTATTCTTGTCGTGAATAAGCAGCGTCTTATGTCAAAATGATTGCGTTAAACAGAATCGTCCTCGTATCCTGTACTTTAGATTTTCAGCAAGTAAGTGCTAACGTCGTTTTCTCAAGTCTCTTAGTGGGATGAGGGCATCGAGCGTCAATTATGTACGTGCCCGTGCACTCTTGTCCTCCTTATTCGGAATGTCAAAATCCACTTTGAAAGGCGATACTGTGAAGCTTAGCGAGCAAGAGCAGGTATGTTAACATCTATACATATTCATAAGCGCATGTGGCGCAGTGGTTAGAGGTGCTCTGCGTTCGCACACAAGGTCAATGGTTCGACCTCGCGCTCATGGTTCACCAAGCCATCCATCCCTCCGGGGTCGGTAAATTGGTACCAGACAGGTCTCAGACTTGTCTGGGAGGGTAAGCAGCACTGACCTGGTCCAGCGGGAGGCCACCGCGAGTCATTGTAAAGGCTAGAAATGCATTAAATCACCTCAAACGAAGTTAAAAATTGAAGGCGAATGCATGGCGCATCCCTCAGGGATTGATCAACGCCGAGAGCTTTATCCTTTATCCTTTTTATACATATCCATGTATCCTGCCGGATGAGCATATCGCCCAAAGGTAGGTATACACAATCTTATAAAGTACTAATATGTTAGGCGACAACAAATGAAAAACCGATCTCAATCGCTGGGCGGGAACTTTCCATAGGAGTCTTAGTAATCCTTCGAAAGCTTAAATATCTGGCTAGAACCCCACGTGGTCGGTTTTCAAAACACCCTTCCGTAACGCTGTAAAATCCAAAATAAAATCACGTTGCAGAACCGCCGTTACCCTCATATTTATTACGCGTATAATTCACTGGAACCTTGAAAAGAGTATGAGCGTGTTTAGGATCGTAGTGTTGGAGTGGTCGTTTTAGCTGGACTTTCTTTTAAAACCGAGAAGAAATATCCAATTGAATAACAATTTGCATCCCTTCTGCAACGACCAATGCGTGAATTATATGCCCTCCTTCCAGACCCCATGGACTAGCCGATAAAGAATCTTGCCGAAAATGTACGAATTCGACCTTATCCTCCCTGGTAACGATATTTCCAGAAAATAAGCAGAGC